CTCTGTCTTTCTTTCTCCCCCTTCCTTAATAAATACTTATGGCTATTTCCCGTGTTTACGTGTCTGTTACCTGCCGCCACCGTGGGCCAAGGAAGCGTGCCCTCCTGTAGCTGCTTTCTCATGGCGGGCTCCGCCAACCCACCCTGGGAATCGTTTTTTTTAAGAATAACATTGTGCACTCATATTTGGCTGAGATAAATGACTTCTTGGTCTCTTTGAGGTGAAAACTGTCTCACATCAACGTAAAGAAGACAAACATAAATTATTATAGAACGAGGAAGGTCATGCCTGGTAGCTAGTTCTAGACTCTGACTACAAATGTAGTGTCTATTGAGAAAAAGTGCTGTACAGTCACCGCTGGGCTGGGATTGGTCTTTGGCTACTATGGTCTCTCTGTTACCCTTTGAGGAGTTAGAAGCAAGGGTGATAGTGTAGGAATTCCAGGCTCCCCCTTGGACAAAAATTATTTTTTATTTATTTTGTTTTTTAACTCAAAAATTTTTTTCATGGCTTCCCTTCCTTTATCTCTTCCAAGTGCCTCCCCAGCTTCCCACCTATCTGACTCCATGCCTCGTTTCTCTTTAGAAAATAAACAAAGGAAGAACAAACCAACAAACCAGAATTAAAAACAAAACAAAAGCACAAGAGGACCCCTGCTCCTGCCCCCCTGCACAAAATTGAAAACCACAATATAGAAACAAAAGGCCGGTAAGATTAAAAAATACCCAAGCAAAGCAAAATGAGACAACCCCCGCCCCCTGCAAAATACCATTGAGTTCCTTTTGTGTTAACCGTGTACTGCTGGGCAGGGGACTTACCCGTGAGCAGGGCTTATAAACCCAGCAAGTCTATTGGCAAAAACGATTTCTTCCCTTTGCAAGCCATTGTTTGTTTGTGCTGCTGACTTGAGTTTTCTAGAAGATTGTTCAGTGAATTTGGGCTTGGGGTAGGATTTCCAACACTTTCTGAAATGATTTCAAATCCTTCAGTCATTTGTACTGCGTACTGTGTGGCGTGGCGTTCTTGGCCATTTATACTGTGTACTGTGTGGAGTGGTATTCTCGGCCGTTTGTACTGTTTGGCTGTGTGGAGTGGTATTCTCGGCCGTTTGTACTGTTTGGCTGTGTGGAGTGGTATTCTCGGTTCTCGGCTTATTAAACCAAAATATCAATTGGCTCTGAAGAGCACAGAAGATGCTCTGCCCCAAAGTATCAAATATTCAACAGATTAGCTCTCTGTGCAAAAATAAACAAGCACATCTACCTCTGTAGTATACAAACTTACTCTAATCTTACGTAAGTGCTAAAATTATATGTATACTAAATGTATTGCCTTATTTGTTTAAAATCAAATTTATGACTTAGTCTAACACAGGCCTGAACCTTATAGACAGGATCCCAGTTTGAGTCAGGCCACGCCTTCCTGCAGCTCTCGGGAACAGCTGGCTTGTTTCCTCTTTGTCACACACGATGCAAAACTTCCTGCCAGCTCTCCAAAACTTAGAAAAGTTAGATTTTCTGTTTGTTCTGGGGATTGGTCTAGAAAATCCTCAGAGAAATTCCTCAGAAGACTCCTCACTGGAACTTGAACATGTGTCCGGGTCCCCACCCCTACCCCAAAGCCCTCTCATGGTGATATTCTTCTGGTTCTTTCTCCTCCCTCAGTCCTTCCTTTAGTCTTACCCTTTCCCCTAAACCCTTTAGATTTATTTTATTGTACGCCTATGAGTGTTTCATCTGCGTCTGTAAGCGCTTCTTACAGGTCTGGGTGTCCTTGCAGGTTTAGAAGAGGGCATCATAATTCCTGGAACTGAACTTGCTACCCACGGTTGTGAGCCACTGGGGACCTAACCTTAGTCTTCTGTAAGAACAAGTACTCTAAACTGCTGAGGAATCTGTCCAGCCCCCTTACCTCGCTCTTAAAGAAGCTCTCCTTCATGTTTAAAGCGAAAGTTATTAAGCTGTCTTTCTAACCATCGTTCCTTCTCAAGTATATTGTGCCATCTTGCCCGGTCATTCTAAGAGGCTTCATTCCTGAAAGGAATCGTGTGTAAGCCTCCTTTCTGGACTGACTGCAGCTGCTCTTCTCTTTCTTTAAGTGTTAACAGTGACTATTGGATTGGATTGGATTGGATTCGATTCGATTGGATGGATGGTGGGTACATCAGAAACCCTTGTCAATTCAGCACCGGCTACACTGGAGCCAGAAGGTTAGTGAATGTTGACACCTGCTGCCCATTTTGGGAATTACAGCCTATCTTCCAATTCACAGAGCTGTGCTTGGGTTTGGGATAGTCAGTTTGGTATCAAATATGAAATCCTCAGCACAAACTCCATTTTTTATTTAATATTACTATTCTAATGTTATTGGTAATAAAATTCTCCCCCTTTTAATTTTAGATGTAAAATCCCTAGGGTTGTAGGATTAACGTTCTGCCTGGCACACAGCAGGTTATGATATTAATCAAGTATTTTCAAGCTATCTCTCATTGTAGATAAAAACCAGAGGCCAGTGGGGTTAAACAACTTCTTCCAGGTCACATCCAGCAAGACATAGACAGACTGACAGATATATATGTTATTAGAGGGTCCTGAAGAAAAAAAAAAAGAAAAAAGAAACGACTTACCACTGAAGAAGTTTAATTGTATAGCATTTACCACAGGGATTTGCCCTTTTTCAGAAGTTGTAGTGTTTTGAAGAAGCATGCGTCCTGTAATGGACCAAATTAGTTCATTAGTGTGAACTTGCTCATTGGAGGATTTCTTTGTCTTATTTAATATAGGTGCTAGAAGGAATCGTGGGGTTCTGCAAAGGATTCTAGTAAATAGTAGTGCCTCATTTTCCCATCTTATTCTGAACAGCTTAGAAAAGTAGTGTAGGAAGAAAACAGCATATCCGAAATGCTATGTTTTCCAGTAGCAGCAGTTAAATAACAGATAGTGGCTTTAGGTCTTTTAGCTACACTTTCTTATTCTTGGAACAGAATCAGGCAATCTTACCCACCCAGTTATGGCACGCCTCCCGGCAGGTAGGTCCAGGAAATCATGGATTAAGCTCCAGTTGTGACATGGGCGATCTCTCCAAAGTTAAAGCAGGGCAAAACTGAGCCAATGGATCGTACAAAGCACACCAAATAAGTCAAATCTTTAGGGGGAAAGAAAGGGAAAGAGGCCCAGGATGGAGCAAAGATGCTCACCTCTGGTGAAGTCTATAGACATCTAGTGAACCATCTTTTCCTACAGATGCGGTAGAATGCAAGAGAGGAGGAAGATTCTGTTACAAGCTACAGACCAACACACCAGCTTCCTGATCTGAGTTCACAGCCCCCGCTATATTCCCTGCATTGTTCTCCTGCAAGCGGGCTGAGGAGGTTCTGCTTTAGAAAGTGTCGCACAAGGGACGTGGTATGAGGGAAGGAGGAAATACTGCAGCTCCGGTAAGTGTTCGCAGTGAAGAGAACCGAGACAACACCCGCGCATTTCAGATCAGTGTTAGACTCAAACCCTCCCATCCTCATGGCCCCACTCAGTGTCAGAACAAGGAATTGTTTTTCATGTTGTAAAGTTTATTATAAAAAACTTGAAAATAAATAAAAGCACCACACACTAAAATTAACCGGACCCAAAGTCTAGATAACGCCATAAACTTTCTATACAGGTAGAATAGGCATTCAGAACTTTGGCTGTAGAGTTTTACTTAATTTTACATGTTCATAAATATATAAAATGTCCATAAAATCTAGCACACTCTTGAACGTGTCAAAAAGGAAAGAGGCAGGGATTTTTTGAAGTCTATCTGTACTAGGATTTTCCTGAAAAACAGAACCAGTAGGATATATATGTATAAAAAGAGATTTATTATAAAGAAATTGGCCTATGTGATTTGGGCAAGCCCCAAATTGGCAGCAGTGTGGAGGAGACGCAGGAGCAAAGAGACGCAGCTGAAGTCAGAAGGCTGTGTGTAGGAGCATTTCCTATTGCTCAAGGATGCTGGGTGTTTGTTCTGCTCAGGCCTTCAATGGGTGGGATGAGGCTCATTCACATCACATGGGGGCAGTCTGCATTATGACATTTCAGTGATTTAAATGTTAATTCCTTTAAAAAACAACTGTCAACTTCACATATAAAATCAAAGGGTACACTGATTTATTTTTATTTTTTATTTTTTTGGTTTTTCGAGACAAGGTTTCTCTGTGGCTTTGGATTTATTTTGACCTTTAGAAACTTATATTTTTGTTGCTGTTGTTTTGTGATTTTGAGTACACCCTTACTACTTTCACTTTTTTTTTTTAAAGACTTACAGTCCTACCTCCCATGTCCCAGTAGCGCAGGCATGAAACACCAGGCCCGTTTGCCATCATAATTTTTGCTGTAATTTGTGCTTTATGTACTTAATTTTTTTTGAACTATTGTTAATTGCTTGAGAATCAGCTTTGTACTCAGTAATACCCATACTGGATGCATTTTTTGTTTAAAAGTAAAACGAACAAGAATAAGACTTAAACAGATAAGCAACAACTATAACCATTTTCCTAATCCATTTGAGTAACCATATCGTCAAAGCTGCCCGGATAACCAAGGTGCCTGTAATTCCATCTGGTCACCAGGGGGCGCAACTGTCTCCTACCCAGGGAGCTAGGAAGGAAGTTGAGGAAGTCTTGCCATGACTTAAATGTAAATTTTATTTAAAAAACCCGTCAAGTTCACATATAAAATCAAAGAGCGCACTAATTTATTCCCTTTTAACCAGAGCTGGACCGGGAGTGTCCTTAGCCGTATCCAACCAAGGGGGGGGTCCTTTCAGGGACCAGCAGGTTTACCTGGACACCCCTGGCAATTCCGAGGCTCCTGGGCGCACAGGCCTCCTCAGAGGGGTGACAGCTACAGTTCTATCGGCGTGTTGGTCACTTTGTGCTCACACGTGGAAAACGCAAGACCTCAACCCTCTGAGTAACTAACTTCCTGTTACTTGGAGGAAAAAGAGAAAAAGCCACTTCCGGCCTAGGGGCTGCCTTTCAGGAACTGTGTTTGTGCTGAGAGCAGCTTTAAGCTTGAGCCACCTAGAACCAGGTACAGAATTCCTTGGCGAAGGTAGAAAAAGCCCGTGGCAATCACAGCGCTGGGGAGGAAGAGGCGAGCACATTACTGAAATTCGGACCCGCCTGGTCTACACAGCGAGTTCCAGGTGAGTCAGAGTTCCAAGGTTAGACCCTGTCTCACAACACAAACTGAAACCAATGGGAGTGAACTTAGGAACCCCGAGCCCAGCACTGTGGCTGTGTTTGGTGTAAAGCCAGACCTGGGAGGTCAGGGGTAGTGTGACCTCTTCATACTGGGCAGCACGTGTGCCTCAGTACCTCCCAAACAATCCGTGCGCACCTTGTCTTGAACGTTCTTATTCATGTTTTAGTTTACGTTGTCAGCGTATTGCTACTCTTTAAAGGAATGCTTACCTGTTAACTGGCGACAATGCGTCAGTGGACCGGATGTGAGGACTGAAGGAACGAATCGAGAAAAGCGCTTAGGTTAGTATCTAATATTAATATGTAAGACCCCAGTGCTAGGCAGCTACTGCTATTACTGGGTGTGCAGTCCGGAGGATTCACTACCTCCTGGGACCGCTGGAGATGTCTGATCTCTGGCATCCACACACTCCCAGTAAAAACAACTGGGAAAGCTTGGCTGTCCTTGGGTGGGTGGGGGAGGTGAGTATCCTCTGCCGCTTTTACTCCCACCCTGCAATTCTTGTCACTTCAGTTGCTTAAGTAGACACTAAATCAGGTTGACAGCAGGTGGCTCCAGAATACTGCGGATGTTTGCCCTTCGTTGCCTACTAACAATTAGTAATTTAACGAGGGCTTATTGAACAGACTGTATACTGCTGCATAGGGCTTACAGGAATATTGGGATAGTTAAGACTGTGAATGGGAAACTGACTTCAGGGAGAATTTAAATGATTCATTACTCTAGTCTTTTTTTGCAAAACCCCACCCCCATATTAAATTTATTTAACAAATATTTATTGGATATTTTCTCTGTTCCATATACTATTCAGTCATTTGAGGTGTATCAAATAGAGCAAAGATCTTAGACTAGCGTGTGAGTGGGCGGGTTACAGGATTAGGCAGAGTAGTGAATACAGACCCATTAGGAAGGCAAGATTTAAACAAAGGCCAAAAACATGGAATGAGAAAGCCAAATGGAGAAAAGAGTGTTCCAGAAACTAATATATATATATATATATATATTATGTATGTATGTATATGTGTATAATATATACATATATAATATATATGTATTTATGTATGTATTAGAGCAGTTGCATTAGCCTCTTTATAGATAAAATAATTTCCCAGGGAAGTGAAGGAACGTCAAGGATCTTATAGGAGGTCGTTGACAAGGCTGCTCTAAGTCCACCTTCTCATTTCTAGTCCTGTGCTCATTCACCAGATCACATAGCCTCTCTCTTTGTCAAGATGACAGAACTTTCTAGTAAACCTGTGCCATCCATAGCTTGCTAAGTGATGTTATGTGTTTGGGCATAATTCTACCTATTGGGTAATGCCAACATGCCTCTGGTTCTTCTTTTTAATGTCATCTATATGCATATTTATTTTGCTTAGGGCTATGGATAGTAGAAAAGAGGCAACAGGCATGGCCCTTTTCTTTAAAGGATCACTTTGTACACTATCAGTTTTGGCTTTCGTTTTCCCTCTTTCATTGACTGTATACCTCCACCCCCACCCTGCAGCAGCCCACTAACAATCTTTTTCCAGTTTAGAGTTAGGTCAGGCTCTTAATCCTGGTTCCCCAGAGTTCCTCTGCTGCCACTTGTTAACTAACCAATCTTCTTAATTTCCCAAGTTAGTAAGTCTTGACTACCTCTACCCCATGCGGGACTGGTCGGTCCGTAGGGCTGGGTTTATGTTTGATTCTGTATTACTCAATTAGATGTTGCATCTGAATCCTCGTTAGTCCTATATACTCCCCCGTCACCCGAATCCTTGGTCCTTAGACTCCTTTCACTTGGTTAGCGACTCTGTGTCCTCCAGTTTGCAGCTTGCGTCTCTTGGACACTTGTTGAGTCGTGGGGATGAGCCTGGGCCATTTCTCTCTGCCTCTGGCTGTGAGAACTTTCATGTACCAACTCCCTTTCTCTCCGGCCCACACATGCTGGGAGGAGACTGTGGTGCCTTCTGTGAGAGTCAAAGTGCCGGGTTATGGCCCGGGTAAGACAACAGTGAGGGACAGAACAGCAGTTTGGGGCAATTAATCGTCAGAGAGTGAGAAGTCGGCCTGAGAGGAGAGCTTGGGAACTCAGTCTAGAGGAATGAGGAAGATGGCACTTCCTGGCCTTGAGGAAGCAGCAGAATTAATAGGGTAAGGGAGGAAGGAGGTGGGAGGACAGCACCGTTTGTGTGGGCCGGTGAGATTAGCTTAAATGGATCGGAGAGGGTGTGTTTCGGAGTGGAGGTGAAAGACAGACAGACGGGCAGGTCTGAACTGGAGCAGGCCCTGGGGCACAAGCTTGAGAAGTCGGCGTTGCAAAATCATGAAATGTTCTTAAATTCTCAGTTCCTGGGAATCTGAAGTGAAGACATAATGACACGTGTCAGAGGACCTGCATAGCCACCTTCCTGACTTCATTTGATTTATTATGTCCTCCAATGCCCCCTATTAAAGGGACCTCCTTGATTATTTTTTTGCCGTGTCCTATTTATTACCTGTTTATTTGCTCATCCAGGCTCCTCGAGCTTACCCTGAGAGTGAGTGCTGCCAGAGAGGTAGGATCTGGTTTGGCTCCCTGCCAAATGTCCAGAACCCAGCACAGTATCAGATACACAGTCAATGTTCCGAAAGTGTTTGTTGAGTGAATAAATACCAAAACTAAGCTTATTTCTCCAATTTTACTCCTTTTTTAAACCTCTGAGTGCTTGTGGGACAGTGGTGGCCCACACCTTTAATCCCAGAACTCAGGAGGCAGAAGCAGGTAGAACTTGGTGACTTCAAGCCTGGCCTGGTCTACAAAACAAGTTCCAAGACAGCCAGGACTACACAGTACAATCCTGTCTTGAAAAACCAAAAACCAAAACCAAAACCCAAAACACCTCTGAGTGCTTGAATTCTGTTACTGCTGAATTCTGGTACCACCTTTCTTGTCTGTTAAAGTCAGAAATGTGGCCTTCACCTTGATGAAGCCATAGGTGTGGTACTTGGCTGTGAGGACTGTAGTCCCACAGAGGTGTTCTTGCTTACTCCAGGTGACTCAGATGACCTGGAATTTCAGATGTAAAGACTGAAAGCATCGACATGAATGAACAGTGAGCCTAAAGGAGCAGGAAGTCATGGCGAGCCCAGGCCACCTGGAAACTGTCCATGTGCATCTCTGAAGAAAACCATTGCATTAGTTGTTTTGTCTCCTTGGTGGCGAATCACATGACGGTAAAGATGCCAAGCCCAAATCCTGGCTCTGCCCCTTTCTCTGCCTGTGCGCAGAGAGTGGCTGTTTAATACCCTGTGGTTTAACTGCCTGGTATTTGCTTCTTTGATATGTGTAGAAGAGAATAACACCCCTACCTCCAAGAGTTTGAGTGGAGGTTAGTGTACAGGAGCTTCTTAGAGCAGGGCTCAGATGTGGGAAATTCTTAGAGCTCTTAGCTATTAGTGCCTAATGAGCCATTTCACTATGAATATGTTGTCATTTGGAGCTGCTAATCACATAGGAACTGACCTTTGTAAGGTGTGGCTAAGGGTGTCATTGGAAGGGCAGTTGAGGTTTGTTGAGCGAAGACTGAATTCCTCAGAAGTTGGCAGTTGCTCCAGAGGGAGGCTCCAGATACAGATGGGATTGCTTCCGTTGGAATGCAGACCTAGATTTCCAACACAAGGAAATGTTAACTCTCTGCAGGCTTCCCAGAACACAGAGAGAACTCTGGCACTGTCTTGTTCTTGCTTTGTAAGAGAATATAACCAAGTCTAAAGCCAGGGAAGTGAGGCATGTTGTTAACGCGTTCACATTACTCTTCTACTTCCTTATTCTCTCGTCCTAAACCAGAAGAAGCAGAAGTTTTAAATGTAACTTTATGGGGATTATGAAGACCTTTAAAGAGGAAATGAAAAACTCCCTTAAAGAAGTAGGGGAAAAGACAAACAAAAATTGGAAGAAATTAATTAATTAATTAACTCTTAAAGAATAGCAAGGGGAAAAAAACAAACAGGTGAAGCAAACAGTTCAAACAGTTCAAGACTTGAAGACTAAAATGGAGACAATAAAGAAAACTCAAACCAAGGGAATTCTGGAAATGCAATGCAGTGGCATTTCAAGTATATTTTAATAATAAATACTGCCTGAAGATCTGAGAGTAAAAGAGTCCCACTGGTCAGCCTTACAGACCAGATTATGGTAACACACACCTTTGATCCCAGTAGCCACAATGACATGCACTTTTAATCCCAGTAGCCACCCTAGTTGCTACAGAAATTGGGTGGTGTATGCCTTTAATCCCAGTGGTTCCTGCCTTTGGCCTTAGCCCTAGAGAGGAATATAAAATGGGGCTAGACAGCTCTAAGACACATAATTTCATCCTGAGATTCTGGGAGGTAGGATTGCCATTTTAGCCTGAGGTCAAGGTAAGAGCCAGTCGCTGGGGGTTTTGCTTTTTGAATCTTCAGGTTGCACCCCAATTTCCAACCCTGAGTTTTTAATTGCACATCAGTGGAAAATCTGAGTAAATGGATGGGAACTACAGAGGAAAGCATAACCAATAGAATATAAGAAATGGAAGAGACAATCTCAGGTGTTAAAATACTGTTGAGGAAAACGTCAAAGAAAACATTAAATCTAACAAATTCATAACGAAAAACATAAAGGAACTCTGGGACACTATGAAAAGACCAAACCTTAGAATAATAGGGATAGAAGGGGAAGAAATCCAGCTCAAAGGCATAAAAATATATTCAATGAAATCTTAAAAGAAAACATTCCCAACCTAAAGAATGATATCCCTATGAAGATATAAGAATCTTACAGAACACCAAATAGACTAAAACAAAAAAAAAGAAAAGTCCCATCACCATATAATAATAATAAAAACACAAAACATACAGAATAAAGAAAGAATATTAAGAGCTGCAAAGGAAAAAGCTTAAGTAACATATGAAGGCAGATCTATCAGAATTACATCTGATTTCTTAGGGGAAACAGTGAAAGCCAGAAGGTCCTGGACAGATGTGCTGCAGACACTAAGAAACCACAGATGCAAGTCCAGACTATTATACCCAAGCAAAGCTTTCAATCACCATCAATGGATAAAACAAGATAATCCATGATAAAACCAGATTTAAACAGTACCTATCTGCAAATCCAGCCCTACAGAAAGTGCTAGAAGGAAAACTCTAACCTAAGGAAGCTAAGTGCACCCACAAAAACACAGGCAACAGATAGCCTCATACCAGCAACTCCCTAAAAGGAAACACACAAACACTACCACCAAAAAATAACAGGAATTAACAATCATTAATATCTCTTAATATCAATGGACTCAATTCACCTACAAAAAGACACAGGCTAAGAGAATGGATATGAAAGCAGGATCCAGCCTTCTGCTTCTTACAAGAAATACACCTCAACCTCAAAGACAGACACTACCTCAGAGTAAAGGGTTGGGAAAAGATTTTCTGATCAAATGGACCTAAGAAGCAAGCAGGTATAGCTATCCTAATATCTAACAAAATAGACTTCAAATTAAAATCTATCAAAAGAGATAGAGAAGGACACTTTATACTCATCACAGGAACAACCCATCAATATGAAGTTTCAGTCCTGAACATTTATGCCCCAAATACAAGCGCACCCACATATGTAAAAGAAACATTATTAAAGCTTAAATCACACATCAAACCCCACACATTAATAGTAGGAGACTTCAATGCCCCACTCTCCCCAGTGGACAGGTCAATCTGACAGAAACTTAACAGAGAAATAAGAGAACTAACTGATGTCATGATTCAAATGGACTTAACAGACTTCTACGAAACATTTCACCCAAACACAAAAGAATAGACCTTCTTCTTAGCACCCCATGGAACCTTCTCTAGAACTGACCACATACTCGGTAACAAAACAAACCTCAGCAGATTAAAAAAAAATTGAAATAACCCCTGTATTTTATCAGATCACAGTGGTTTAAAGTAAGAATTAACAATAACATTAATTGCAGAAAGCCTAGAAACTCATGGAAATTGAACAGTGCTCAGTTGAAACACCCCTGGGTCAAGGAATTAAAAAGAAAGAAACTGAGCACTTCATATAATTCAATGAAACTGAAGGCACAACATACCCAAGCCTATGGGATACTTAGAAAAGCAATGCTAAAAGGAAAGTTCATAGCACTAAGTGCCCACATAAAGGAAGTGGAGAAATCTCACACTAGTGACTTAACAGCACATCTGAAAGCTCTAGAACAAAAAGAAGCAGACTCACCCGGGAGGAGAAGATGTCAGGAAATAATCAAATTGAGGGCTGAAATCAATAAAATAAAAAAGAAAACAATACAAAGAAGCAATGAAACAAAGAGCTGGTTATTTGAGAAAATCAACAAGATTAACAAACCCTTATCCAAACTAATCAAAAGGCAGAGAGAGAATATTCAAATTAACAAAATCAGAAATGAAAAGGGGGACATAACAGACAAAGAGGAAATCAAGAGAACCCTTAGGTCATACTACAAAAAACCTGTACTCCACAAAATTGGAAAATGTAACAGAAATGGACAATTTTCTGGATAGGTACCACATATCAAAATTAAATCAAGATCAGGTGAACAATTTAAATAAACCTATACTCTCCAAAGAAATAGAAGCAGTCATCAAAAGCCTCTCAACCAAATAAATCCCAGGGCCAGATGGTTTCAGTGCAGAATTCTACCAGAACTATAAAGAAGAGCTAATACCTATATTCCTCAAAGTGTTCCACATAATAGAATCAGAAGGAACATTGCCAAATTTTATGAGGCTACAGTTACCCTGATACTGAATCCACACAAAGACTGAACCAAGAAAGAAAATTACCGACGAATCTCCCTCATGAACATTGATGCAGAAATGCTGGCAAACAGAATCCAAGAAAACATCAAAAAAATCATCCAAGATGATCAAGTCATCTTCATCCCAGAGTTGCAAGGATGGTTCAACATACAAAAAACTATCAGTATAATCCAGCATATAAATAAACTGAAAGAAAAAACCATATGATCATCTCATTAGATGCTGAAAAAGCACTCAACAAAATCTAACTCCCCTTCATGATAAAGGTCTTAGAGAGATCAGGGATACAAGGAACATATCTAAACATAATAAAAGCAATATACAGCAAGTTGACAGTTGATACCAAATTAAATGGAGAGAAACCCAAGCGATTCCACTAAAATCAGGAACAAGACAAGGCTGTCAACTCTCTCCATATCTATTCATAATAGTTCTTAAAGTTCTGGCTATAGCGATAAGACAACAAAAGGAGATCAAAGGATTACAAATTGGAAAGGAAGAAGTCAAACTTTCAATATTCACAGATGATATGACAGTATACTTAAGTGACCCCCAAAACTCTATCAGAAAACGCTGATAAACATCTTCAGTGATGTGGCCAGATGCAAGATCAACTCAAATAAATCAGTAGCTCTCCTATATACAAATGATAAAGAAGCTGAGAATGAAATAAGAGAAACATCACCATTCACAATAGCTACAAATAACATAAAGTATCTTGGAATAACACTAACTAAAGAAGTGAAAGACCTGTTCAAAAAGAACTTTAAGTCTTTGAAGAAAGAAATTAAAGAAGATATCAGAAAATGGAAAGATCTCCCATGCTTTTGGATAGTTAGGATCAACATTATAAAAATGGCAATCCTACCAAAAGCAATCTATAGATTCAATGCAATCCCCATGAAAATCCCAACACAATTCTTCACAGACCTTGAAAGAACAATGCTTAATTTCATATGGAAAAACAAATAACCCAGGATAGCCAAAAAAAACCCTGTACAATAAAGGAATTTCTGGAGGCATTATCATCCATGACATTGGCATTGACCATAAAAACAGACAGGTTGACCACTGGGATCGTATTAAAGACCCAAATATTAATCTACACACCTAATTTTTGACAAAGAGCTAAAATTATGCAATAGAAAAAAAGAGCATCTTAACAAATGGTGCTTGCATAACTGGATGTCAACATGTAGACATGTTGCAAATAAATACTGGAAAACAGTATGTAAATAGATCCATATCTATCCCCATGCACAAAACTCAAAACCAAATGGATTAAAGACCTCAATATAAATCTGACCACACTTGCTCTGATAGAAGAGAAAGTGGGAAGTAGCTTTCAATGCATGGGCACATGAAACCACTTCCTAAATATAACACCAGTAGCACAGACAGTAAGAGCAACAATATAAACAGGACCTGCTGAAACTGAGAAGCTTCTGTAAAACAAATGACACAGTCAGTAAGACAAAAAAGGAAGCCTACTGAATGGGAAAAGATCTACACCAATCCCACATCAGACAAAAGACTGATCTCTAAAATATATAAAGAATTCAACAAATTAAATATCAAAATTTCAAAAATCAAATTAAAAATGGGGTACTGATCTAAATTGGCCTTGCTCTGTAGTCAAGTTTTACATGGATTTAGTTGGGCATCAGTTGGTTGCAGGGGACTGCTTGTTGGTTCCCAGCGCTCCCCACTTGTTCATCTTGGCCACCCAAAACCAAAATAATCACAAAGAAACTGTATTAATTAAATCCCTGCTTAGCCCATTAGCTCTAGATTCTTATTGTCTAACTCTTACATATTAATTTAA